GCATATATGCATCTCTTCTGGTACGAGAGTTCAGCAAACGGTAATCAATACAAAATCTAAGACTACCGTCTTTTTTGCGGACAAGAACCACATTACTTGAGAATGGGCTATTGCTCTCTCGTATGACACCGGCGTCCTGCATATCACGTAGATGCTGGCGGACTTCCTCATACATGCCCGGTGGAATCTTCCGGTAAGGCTGCTTAAATGGCCTTTCATCTATGAGGTCTATTTTATGTTTAACTAAGTTCGTACAACCGATGTCAAAAGCACTGGTGGAAAAAGCATGCTTCCAGTTCCCCAAGACTTGACGAACCCTCAACAGTTGTGCCTCAGTAAGATTTTGTGTGTCAATATTGAGACCTAATTCTTCAGGTAAAGACTCTGGTGACTTAACTTGTAAATCAGATGCCAAATTATCAACCACTTTCACCTCATTAGCGATACAGATTGTAGATCTGGGGTTGATAGTTAATGATTTTGCAGTAATATTGCAAATTTTAATAGGTAACTTAATATTTGACACACTTTGTTTAACCTTAACCACTCTGGGGCAGACTGTGAACTTCAGGTTAGAATTTTCAAAGTTTTCTGTCACCATATTTTCTACGCCGGGGTCAAGACCACGAACCATACCATTAACAACTATTGACTCATAAGGAGCCAGTTTAACAGTCTTCCTGTTAAATGATTTTACTGTGTATGAACAGGTAATACTGTCAATAGCTGTTTGCCATGAATCTGGTATATTTACACTTTCAGAAGTACAGTTCCTCGCTAGGCGAATTGCATTGGTACCTAACAGTACAGGGCAGGTCTTGTTATAGTCAGTATCGGGTACAACTAACGCTAAAATGCTAAACGCTTTGTCCGTCAAGAAAGGTATACACAACTCCACTTCAACATAACCCAAGTATTGTAGCTTGGAACCATTTGCTACTGTAATATCCACTAGAGTTGTAATATCATTCAGCTCTGGCTTATTAGGCAATTGTTCATACCAAGTTTTGGAAATCGTTGTTATCATGGATCCACTATCTATCAAGCATTTAACTCGATGACCTTCAATAAAAACTACATCCTCATTGGACACTCCAATAAGCCTATCCAAAATATCACTGTGACCTTGACCTTTAGTTTGATTGATGGTCTCCACTCGGCCACTAGCAGAGACCCCTACTTGTTTGGGTTGTCCTTTGATCCATTATTTGTATTGCCTTTGCCCTTTTGTTTGTTGTTGTATCGATATCCCCGATTACCTCGACCTCTATTTGACCTTTGACCTTGATTTTGGTTCTGACCTTGAGCAGACTTACTTTGACCTAGATCACCAAGTTTGGAAAGGATATTGTCTAGTTTGGTGTCAAATTTAGTGGACAGTTTATCTTCGACATCCTTTAGCTTCTTTTCAAACTCCCTATGTAAATCAGCTATGCTTGACACATGCTGCTGTTCAACTTCACAACTAACAGCTTGACTACTGACTTTACCCTTTTTCTTATGACCCTCTCCCGTGGCTGACCCTGTAGCAGGTATGTCCACCTGTTTTGTTATACTGATCTCCTTTTCTACAGTTCTGATCTCCCTTAAAAGTTGATCATAACTGGTAATAGAGTCGTACTTATGTCGGGTTTGGCTTTTTAACCTATCCGAATGGAGAGAAGTCCAAAACTTGTGTCTGAGGAGGTCATTCTTTGCCGACCTATGCAAAGATCCGTTATCAATGGCTGTTTGTAACAATGATTCAAGTCGACAGCCAAAGTTAACAACACACTCATCTGGTCTTTGTTTAGAGTTGAAAAACTCCTGCATGACCATACCATGAGTTGAGGTGTCTCCAAACAAGGAGTCCAACTTGGCCAATATTTGTGAAACAGTTGATCCCTCACCCAGAGTAACTAACATTCGACGGGCTGTGCCTCGCAATGAACGCCTGATAGCCTGTATCAGGAGACTCTGTGAGATATCAGGATCATGGTCCAGACTGCGAATTTCAAATCGCCATTCAATGTAAGATACATCCCCCTTTAGTGGGGGATCATCACCTGAGAAAGGTGGAATTTTAGGAACATTTTGTAAATGTCTAGGAGTAAATGAAGATTGGCTATCATTCCTGGTACTACTCAAAAATGATAAGGAACCAGTTCTGTTCCTTCCCAGTGGGGGAATGAGCAGTGGATCAGAACCTTTAGGGGTAATTGTATACTTTCCCTTAGACATAAGGTATTGAACCATCGCTTCATCAGACATATTAAATGTAACTTTACCTTCCTCCTTAATATCGATAGGATCTATTTTTTTATCCCCAGGGCCCCCTGTAGCAGCATTTGTAAACTCTGCTTGGGTGTCCTGCACTTGACCTTGAAGATCAGCATCCTCAGATGCCCATTCAGTTTCCATAGTTACAAATACAACTTACAGCACTGAATATAATATCTAACTATATATATAAATACACAGAAAAAGGTTAACAACAATCATGAAAAATTTTAGTCATGAATCTCTTCATCCACACCCGAGCTAAAATTCTATCAGGGTGGATACCATCTTTAAAGAGATTAAAGTTAACTACAGGCTTCCTGCCTGCTCTATGGTATTTCAAAAGATCTGCTGTGAAATTTAATGACCTTGTACCAGACCGTGCATCAACCTCTTGAATATAGTTATTTAGTAAGGCTATTCTACTCTCAAGAAGCCGATCCTGCTCCTTAAAACTATCTGGGTTACTATGACCTTTGGTAGAATTCCAGATGACAATGGAATATGGAGGCATTTCCAAAAAGATAAGTTTAACTGATGGATAATCTTTAACAAAATTCACAATACGGTCTATTTGTGTGTGAATATAGTCCTCACATTGGCTATCTGTCTCATGTGCGAGAGATATGAACTTGCCTTTTTTTATTGTTAGGTCACATGTACCTATCCATATGTATAAAGTGACAATATCATACTGGTCTACTTTTCGGGCCAGATTTCGCTTTAACCAATTCCAAGTTTGAACAAAAGTAGCTCCAGGCCAGCAGTTCACATCAATAGCATAACCGAATTTGGTAATAAGATCTAAATTTCTACACAGAGAGAAACCCTTACTGCTGGTAACTAGAACAGGTTTGCTTTTCAAACTCTCTGGTGCATTGACAGGTTTATTGAGAAATTTATTTAATTTACTCAAACTCATTTACAGAATGGCACGTATTCACAACAATGAAAGGATAAACACACTATTTCATAAATAACTATTAAAACTATCAGGAATAAGCAGCCAGGTGCAATCTCATGACAATGAATAACAGATCAATGAAAATGATTTACCTTACCTTTCATTCTGTGCTATGGGATCAGGAAGGAAAAGTGCAAAGGGGGGTAATGAAGTGACAATGTTGGATTCAACAAACAGGTGATGACGCTGGTAGAGATGATTATGACGATGGTGATGCAATTAAATAGATCAAGTGGTGATGATGAGATGACAGGATAGGAAGATCAATGATCCTTTTGTCCCTGGCAAGATAAAGATATCACAAAGTATACAAAGATAATAAAACTAACACATTCTGACACTCGCATTCACACTAAATAGTTATCACAGTCATCATATTAAGCACAATAATTGATTTAAAGTATCCACTGAACTGACTTTGAAAATTAAATATTACAATACAATATCACAGTCTAATTACCAATGATCATATGAATTAATTATATGATATTGAAAATACATATTTAAACGAAGTTTTGAAAGTGTTAATCCTTATCCAAATGTACATCACGGATTCCGATAGCACAAGGTAGGCACTAATGTCACTGCAACACTACAACAGATCAGTGGTACCCCTCGTCAGTAACACACATCAAATCGAATCATCGATGCCGTCCATCATTTCGAAATCCTGCATTTGTCACTGACAAGTTATTGATCACATTATACTTATCGAAACAGTATCCAGCGCTCTGCTCCTCTGCCTCGTGTGTCCTAATACGTATACGCTTCGGCCATATGCATGGAGACCATCACTTCCGGTATTTTCCGGTACGTCTAATCGCCGGAACGGACTTGACGGGAACCCCGTCCTGTCACTGTCAGGAAACCAAGAGGGTAGACCCTGGTCTTCCTCGCAAATACACGTTGGGCGCCAAATTGTAACCGTGGGTGCATAGACTACCAAAACCCCTTCTTTGGTTGGAAAATGATTTAATTGTCTGAAGAAGACCTAAAATTAAAAATACAATTATAAATACACATTCACTCACACACCTTGCACACTGCGGTAAATTATGAGGAATGTATTTATAGTTTGAAGATTAAAATATATTAATGTGACTTATATTAATTAAGCTTACCAGGGACGCCGGCTTTGGTGCTCTCGCTTCAGATTTGACAGGTTAGCCTACGTGTTGACTGTCTGAGTGATGCTGTGCGAGTGTGGTGGCTCTTGGTGGGAGTTGGCGGTGACTGGACAGAGGACGTGAAGTCCGTGCTCGACGTGCACATACATACATTCTTTCATACTTGCTTTACGCGCGATGATTTATAATGATGTATTCTATCACCTGGCTACAGTTATATTTTCGTTTTGGTTCAAATTTGTTACATATTTACATGTGTCAATGTATATATAGTATACGTAAAGGGAAGTAATCCATGGATATTCACTGTATTTTTTTTTACATCGTTTTGGTTCAAATTTGTTACATATTTACATGTATGTCAGTGTATACGTAGTAAAAGTGAAGGGAATTAATCCACGGATAGTCACTGTAATTTTTTACATCCTATTCATCAAAGACTAAAAAGAATTCAACTCGGCATATTTTTATGTTCGTTAATAAGTTATATTTATTGTGTTAAGGTTATTTCGAAAAAAAAACTTAATCGAAAAAGAACAAGAAAGATTTTGATATTTCAGATTGTGTACTTTTTAAATTTGCAAATGCCTTAAGAATATATGGGTTGTTTCAAAATTCGTGACAGCGTTGAAGACTTTGTATAGGGAGCAGTTAACAAACTTTGGTCCTTAAATATGAAAGTTGATATGTCTCTTTGTGACGCTTGAAAAACCAAAGCCTTCTTTGCTTTTTAAAATTTTTGCTGTCATATTTTAACGAATTTTTCAAACAATGCACCATATCAGGTTTTTCATAACAAAGTCTTTATGTTGTTGTAGGAAAAAGAGATCAGAAACCAAGAGGTCATTTGCCGATAACAGGACGTACGAGCTCAGACAGCACGACATAATCGGTTTGTTACCTCCATAAAAAAGTGTAACTCAATATCAGTTGAAATCTTTATACTGCTGAATGAATTTTTTTTTATCTGTTTACGTACCGTCGCTTCTTTCAAACATGTATTACTGTAATGGCAAAGAATTCAGTTTTACATGCCAAACAAAATGGGCAAAATGCAAATTTTATATATAAAAAAAGATTTATCCTTATTGAACAGTATAGCACATACCAATCATGTTTATGGTAATGTTTTAATCTTCAAGCAATGATTTAAAAAGTTACAGAAATATTAAAATTGAACGAAATTACTACCAGTTATAGATACTTTGAAGCTGCATGAGGTCGCTTGTCTCACTTAATACTTTAAACATAGTTTTTCTTGTTGAGTGTTTCTATTCTTGAGAACTACATGGTTCGTTGTAAGTCAGGAATGAATTATGATTGAGTCCTGCAACATCCATGCTTGCATTTGAAAAATTGCAATTAGAAGAAGCAAAAATCATTTCGTATTGATGGAAATCGACAGCTTTTGACATGCCATATGACAAACACAAGACATAATTTATTTCATATATCTCTCATTTCATTTCTTACAGAACCAACCAGCAGAAGATCCCTTATGTCTGACAGACAAAACAATGATAATGAAAACGGTTATGACAAAGTTTACAGCAAGGTAAACTCTCGTACACGAAAAAGAGATACAACTCCAAGGCCGGATAATGCTACAAATAGTCGGGTGGTGAAAAACGACGATGGTAGTTATGACAACTTCCAAAGCATGGCTCGCGATGACAAAAATGGGGATATGTACACTGAAAAGATCGTGGATGATGTTTATAATGAATTAAACCATCCAAATAGAAGACAAAATAGAACACTGTCGAGCAATGACGAATACGGTCTAGTGAATGCTGCCGCGTCATCAGATACATATGACGTCATGAACAGTAGAAAGAACTCCATGTATGGAGAGTATATGTACGGAAGCCCTCGAGAGTTATCAGACGAATACGATGTTTTCCAAAGGAAACGTGATACGAATGTTATAAGTGATACTATGTATGATACACATACCTCTATCGCAGCTGCGACAGACGATAAAAGTAAATATCTTCCAGACTGACAAAAGGATATATGCAAAATGGTTTCGCATATTGGACAAAATGTTCATATGCATTTTTAATCTGAAGTTACTAATATTCCAATTGAATTGAATATAAATTGCATGAAAATCAGTATTCCATTTTTGAAACGTGTACGTGTTTTGAGAGACAGAGAGAGGTGTGAGGTGGGGGTGGGGTGGGGTGGGAGGGTGGAGGGGGGTGGAGAGAGAGAAGAGGGGGATCTTGAATTTGTTTTTTCATTCGAATTCTACCTTCTACATTTAAAAAAAAACCCAGAAAAACCAGCTTTCCACGTGTACATATAACAATGCTTAAGAAACATACAACAATGCTAAACAATGCTTTTGAATCTTGTGATTAAATCTGAAACTCTCATCAATTCAATCATCAAGTTTTTCGTTTTCCAATCTATAATACAAGCATCATATTAGATAGATATCATGTATTTATGTAAAGTTTATATATTGTACATAAAAAACACGCATTCAATATACAATGTACGTACCTCTTGGCACAAGAATTACCAGAAGGTATAGTAGCTAAATCGTCATGTTTACTTAGAATTAATGTATTGATTACTGCTTTGGTTTTTGAAACATTGTAGACTACAACCTTATTGTTCTATTTTGATGTTTTTATTTTAAATATAAGTCAATTTACAAAGTTGAATCTCTGTGTGTATCAACGTATAACCAGTTATTTTCGCGGGATGATATTTTCGCGGGATGATATTTTCGCTATTTCGCGGTATATTGAGGTGATCGCGAAAATTTATTCTATGAAATAATGAACCAATGATATGTTAGATGTCCTTTCACGTTTAGTTTATAGTTTGATATGTTTTTCGTTTTTTAGTTATAGCCTGCTTTATTTACATGTGCAATAAAAAGATATATTACTGTGTTGACAGTTTCTGCAAAACAAAATAATTTCTCGTGTAAATATTTCAGAGAAAATAACACTAGATTTTAAGACCATACAAACAAACAAGTAAGTAATTGAATGACAAGGTAGTCTGAGTTGTCGGCCAACGATATAACGAGAATTCACGAAGCTTAGAAGGAAGTGGGTTTGTATACGCCAGAGAAACCGTTCTTGTAAACAATAGTGCTCGACGTGAAGCGCAGATGGGCAAAAACAGTCCCTGCATCTTATACAAAGATGACCATAATGGACTTAGCACTCAGAAGTCAGTTTAGTAAATAGAGAGATTTCATACAATGAAATGATTACAGTAGTGTTGAGGAAGCTGCCCGAGTTCTTGTAACAGAAAGTTGATAAAATAATCATCTCGTGTGTTCATTTTCTTTTTTCTATTTTTTTTTTTTTTTTTAATTTTTATAATTTTCCTAGATACAATACCAGTAAATGCATCTCATCATACATATGAAGAAATGTATGTGACTGGTAAAATCCATTATCATTTGTTTAATAACTAATGCGCTAAGGTGCTTGGTTCTGATGGTTGAATTGAAACGCGTATATGCGTATATATTAAGGATAGTTTTTCTAAAGCGAAAAAATACTGACATAGTAACGTCATATAAATCTTATTCAAATTTGATACAACTAAAGAAAAAATATTAACAAAAATAAATTCCACGGAAACCTCTGAAAATGTATAAAGATCATAAAACCAAGTTGTAGGACATAGCAAGCGTTCTCTGCTTCATCGACGACACTAACAACGTAAAGCTAGATGAATACAAGGGAGTAATGTCACGTTCCAAAATTAAGAACCAGGTCAACAACAACGGTTAGTTGTGGGTAACCATGCTGCACATTCTTTAAATGAGAACGCGTAATAAATGTCAAATACACAAATATCAATTCCCCGTTTTTAGATTTTTAAATGTGATATATATGTGTTATGTGTCATATTTAAATATCATTCTATGTATGTGTTATGTGTTATATTTAAATATCATTCTATGTATGTGTTATGTGTTATATTTAAATATCTTTATATGTATGTGATATGTGTTATATTTAAATGTCATTTTATGTGCAACTCTAGTGATCAATCTAGACATTCCGAATGGACTTCGAACACTGAAATTACAATAAGACATAATTAAAAATGTACTGTGATTAATTCAACTTTTATTATATCATGTATACATACAATCAATATCATATAGGAATGATATATATATAAATATATGTATGTATACTGTTTTTGATAATATATTTGTATGTGGGTTATTGTTTTCTTGTTTATCACATTATCATATATCTTTCTCACCAATAAAAGTCCATCCATTGTTGTTTTGGTGATGCAATTAATCCTGCACTTATAGCCAACAAGACTGTTTTATTCTGAGATTTTATCAAACTTTCTGACTCCCTCCACCATTCCACAGAATGGTAAATAGAAACATAGATCAACAATTCATCAAAAAATTTTGTCATCTGTGGAAGTCGTAGTAATACTTAGAAACCATTTTGATAAATATGACATCATTTAACAATTTATAACACTTTAGAATTGTTTCACACTCCTCAAGGTCGAGACATATTTACACTCCCAGTAGGAAAGATCGAGACATGTTTAACACTCCTCAATAAGAAAGATCAAGACATATTTCACACTTTTCAATAAGCAAGATCGAGACATATTTCTCACTCCTCAATAACCAAGATCGAGACTTGTTTCACATTCCTCAATAACCAAGATGGAGGCTTATTTCATATTCCTCAATAAGCAAGATTGAAACATATTTCACATTCCTCAATAACCAAGATGGAAGCTTATTTCACATTCCTCAATAAGCAAGATTGAGAAATATTTCACACTTTTCAATAAGCAAGATCGAGACTTGTTTCACATTCCTCAATAACCAAGATCGAGACTTGTTTCACATTCCTCAATAACCAAGATGGAGGCTTATTTCATATTCCTCAATAAGCAAGATCGAGACATTTTTCACAGTCCTCAATAAGCAAATTCGAGACATGTTTCACATTCGTCAATAAGAAAGATCAAGGCTTATTTCACACTTCTCAATGAGTAAGATCGAGACATATTTCACACTCTTCAATAAACAAGATCGAGACATATTTCGAATTCCTCAATAAGCAAGACGGAGGCTTATTTCACATTCCTCAATGAGCAAGATCGAGACTTATATCACACTTCTCAATAAGCAAGATCGAGACATATTTCACACTCCCAGTAGGAAAGATCGAGACATGTTTCAAACTTCTCAATAAGCAAGATCGGTCGTTTCTATATATTTATCATTGATGTAGTGTACTCGCATTCAATTCTACACCGCTACAACTAGCGCGTTACATTCTAGTTGTGTATAACATGTGGTAATACCACTGTAAATTTTTCACACACCTCTATATAATTATATACACATGCATATTTATGTACTCACTTGGGTGACGGATTCTTGGCAGTGGTGCGTTAATTCCAAGAATACAACATTTTCTAAGAATGTCATACAAGTACAACCCTGACTACCGTAGTGACAGGTGGGGTAGTATGTCTAACTGGATGTTGTGCTTGTGTGTGTATTCCATTTTTGCGACAGTGGGTAGCCGATACGATTTCTATGATTTTGTGAGATTTTACGAATGTATCCTTCTTATTGCGGTTGAAATAAAATCCATACACACTTTTCAATAAGCATGTCCCTGTATAACATCGGAAACTTGGAAAAAATATAAAGTATAATTTTGCTAATATTTAGCCTCTTGAAACAGGAAGGTGAACGTGGTTATGCTGTTTATGTAAAACACTTTTAATTCAGATTGATATCATTGCTTCTTATAAAAGCGTATCTGCCACACCTTCCATATACTCTCGGGCATGGCTTTTAGTGAAAATCGTGACTATAGGACAAAGAAATAAAATATAATTACATGAGCATGTCCACGTACAGATGTACGTTACTATCCTTAGATTTACAATGACAGCAATCAAGGTATGCGTAGGTGTTAACAACTACATTACTCAACAGCCAGAAGATACTATACAACGCCCTGTATTGTAGCAGTGAATATTAATGAAACAAGACACTATTCACTTCCAGGTTTATGCGCAGCTTTAAATTGAATGTATTGGGAAAGTGGGGATGACATGTAAACTGGGTACCGTGCTCTGGTGTGAAAGGAAAATGTATGAACCTGTATTTTTACACGGTGAGGTATTAGCGATCTGGTGACGCAGTGGTAATGCACCCAGCGTTCACACTTCGCCGTGCAGGGTTCGATTTCTGGAACAAGGAAGAGGTCATCTGCCCGAACACGTAGATTTCAACCGGTTACTCCGGTACCCTACCAAAATAAGACCCCACGAGTGCTTACATCCGTGGCAGTAATAGATCAATATATCTTCAAATAACTTGTTTCGCAATTGTTGAAAAAATGAATAAAGTTTACATAGTTTCCACAACAGAAACATCACAAAAAAAATGTTAAATTTAGGCTGAAATTGTCAAGTTTACTAACAACGTGAAATAGTAAGAATTACATTGATTCAAAATCTTCTGAAATGTTATGAGAACTCGGATGATGCTGGACCCACCTTTTCATTATAGGTACATAATGTAAATGGAGAAATATGGACTAAATATATAGCACATCTTTATTATTGTGGCAAATGATCTTGTCTTTCTAAGAATGTTTTGTTGTCTCAACGAGCAGGAAAAGATATCAATGTCATATCGACGCTTGGTTTCGGTCTCCTAACAGCAGCTACAATGCACGTTGCCAACAATTGGAACAGAATCTGGCTCAGAGGCGCAAGTGTTACAGCACAAGATGGTCCGTTGTCTCGGCTTTCTCAGACCGTGGGTTGAGATCTTCGTACTACACGTTCGGAATATTCAATTGTTTTACATTAAGGCGTTAAATGCCCATTTCTCGGCGAGGATTAACTTTCTAGTGGTCCTCGTTGTCCCCGTTTAGGACTGACTACATTGCTCCTCTGATAGAATGATACCTTCACAGATGGACAGGTGGGAAAACCAGCTGCTTAAAGACACACAATGGTTAATATGATGTAACATAACATTGATGGTATTTTTTGTATCGAAAGGTAAGGTTTTACATGAAAAGTATAAACGATAATTTCAGCAGGTGAAAATATTCATTCTTTTTGGACCAATCAGATGACAGTGTTTTCAATCTATGTAAGAAA